TAGTTTGATAAAGTTCACACAATTTTTGTTTGATAAAGTCATTCATCTCGGAGCACATAAGCACCCATCAAACTACCCAAGTAGCCATCAGATTTTATCAAGAACTATTAACGGAATCTTCTCAGTGAAATCTATGTATGTGGACATAACTAAGTATGGTCCGATTCCGAAATCGATACATATTTGGAAGATCAAGGTGCCGCTAAAAATCAAATTCTTCATGTGGCTTGTGCATAAGGAGGTGATTCTGACTAAGGATAACCTGACAAAGCGTAATTAGGAGGGAAGTCAAACTGTTATGGTATTCACACGTTATTTGGGACATGACTAAATGGAGTAGAGCCAACTACTGCGAGACATATTCAGATATGAGTATGCGCATTACTTTGGGCTATATGAAATTGTAGAAATGATATGATTTTTAACAGACAAAAGCATATAATTTTTTTGCAGCATATAATTACAGTGATCATTACTCACTCCTACAGAAGCCACAGAGCCTTTGGTTACTGGGATGTTAGCTCGACATATCTACAACCGGTTTGAATGGTGGTCCAATAGTAGGCTGGGTGTTTAGTCATCTCGTCTTATTTTTATCGGTTGTGGCAACTTTTAACTTTTTTATTATTATTTTAGCTATGAGGAAGATTGTACTGGACCGTAGACTTTTCGGATAATTTGCTTAATACAGGAGTTGCATGCATCACTCTTATGTAAAGGCGGGGGTAATACTCCTAGCTAGAAGAACTTTAGACATACATGCCCGAGATCAGGACTCTCCTCTTCTATGTCAAAGCCATTCCCTGCTAGATAATATTTTATTTGAGTTTGTGGGTGCACCCCAAATATACTAGAGCATTACTATACAGCTGATACTTTTCACACGATACTCAGACGACATTGCCCATCAGCCCGTTCGTAAAGTAGATGCACATCGATCTCACGGTATAGAGTCGGTGTCGACTGCACATCAGCCATACCATGTCGTGTGTAGATCAATTTCAAATATATTATGTTAGGTCTCCAACTTCTATTTCACGGAAGTGTCCGGCGACATTGCCATGAACTTTTGATGATACTACGAATCATCAAGCGATGACGTGACCAAAATATTATACTATTATCTCCATTCCAAAATATTGAAGTTTTGGGTTTGGCCCAAGTCAAACATGTTTAAGTTTGATCTAGTCTTAGTAAAAATATATTAACATCTCGGAGGAGATTTTCTATGAAATTTATTTTTATATTATGTATATTTGGTGTATTTTTTCTACTCGTTTGAGTCAAGGCATCAAGATTCCCCTTCCCATCATTGACTGCCGGAGCGGCAGGTAGCGGGAGGCTAATCCACGGGCTGGTTGGCGGGGAGATCGAGGGAAAATATATCGCCGTAATAGTTTTTGACTTGATTCATACAAAATGAATAATACGAAAACTATGAGTTGATCAATGATTTTTTTGTTAGTGTTCAATATATATTAGCTTTAAAATATATTGATATTGGACTTGTTTTGAAGATCTCGCCATTTAAAAGTCAACTAAATAAATGAATCAAAATTTGCATAATCTATTTACAAGATACGGTAACGTTTTTGTTTGTAACGCAAGTTTGTGTTGAAGAGATGACAGCATCTGCTAGCGGCCGCATGCGGATGACGTACTAGCTGTGACAGTGCTGCACATGCTCCTGTGTCTGGACTAATTTATTTTCAACTATGCTCCTGTTGTTTGATCTGAGGTGTCCTCTGAAGAACTTTGTTCGGGTATTCCGAAGAACTTTATATTAGGTGTGTCTTGAATATTGGCCATATAACCCGGTTAGTAGAAGAAAAGCTCTTTTACAATTATTAATAATCCTAGACCATACAATTAGCAGATAAACTAGAGACTACTATGGTACAATTAGCAGATCTGACCCAGATATACTTTTGCAGCAATACCTAAACAAGGACGGCGTGGAGAAAAGGTCGTCCGGGGAAAAGGAGGCATGGCAATGCCTAGGAGCTACTAAAAACGAATCTATAGGGCTCCGTCCCATCTGAGGTCAAATCAGTTGAAATACGGCTCAATATACACAGGAGCAAAATTGCATGTGACCATGGAATACCATGCATGCCTGACACAGCAGTGGGCCATGATGATTGGACTGCTTGCTCGATGGGTGGTCGTTGATACCATGCATGCATTCACAACCAGGTAGAAGTTGCTCGCAACTCATGCATGTCATTTTCACCGTGCTAAATTCATATACCCTGTCCCTAAATATAAGCCTTTTTAGAGATTCAAATATGAATTACATACGAGTAAAATAAGTGAATCTACACTCCTAAATACATCTATATAGTACATTCATATGTGGTCCATATTGAGATCTCTAGAAAGGCTTACATTTAGAAATGAAGGGGCAGTACATACTTTTTTTAAGGGTCTAGGCGGCCAGAAAACCACCCATATGAATTTCCAACATGTAAAAAAAACATCCATAAGTTTAACAATCTACTCTTTCTGTTATTTTATATTTTTGCAAGGAAGCGAGCTACTCTCTATCTTTTGGCATACAAATGGAGCTATAAACATACGATGTTGTTTCTTTTGTAGGGTTTTACCCCTTGTTTATTTCCTCCTGTATGTCTTTCTTTTTGCTATTTTCGTGGTTTTGGGAGTGGTTCCGGTGTGACATCTTTGGCAAACTTAGACGTGGTTGAAGAGGCAATGTTTCCTTGTGCGACCATCTACAATCATCTTCGGCAGTAAACCATTGGCCAACAAATTTTGTATCAAAATCATGCTACTATATTAGTTTCACTGTGTCTTTGCATTGTGTGCTCTTCTAGAAAGATCGAATCACCTTAAGTTCTTACGCCCGCGGGAATGGTGTACGTCATGTTTGCACACAGACTTGTTCCAACATCACCAGGGGCAAGATGGCAATGCAACTACTTCCTCCGTTTCAAAATATAGTGCTTCCTCTATTCCCGTGCTTCAACTTTGACCAAAAAATTAACAAACGAGACCGACTGCGGCGGGAGTAAAAGTTATACCAGTGAATTCGTATTCGAAAGAAGTTTTCAATTACATATTTTTTTCTTCCGCCGCAATCGGTCTTGTTGGTTAAATTTATGGTCAAAATTGAACCTCGAGAAGCATGGGCGTACTTTATTTTGAAATGGAGGAAGTATTTTGGACACCATTCTTGAAATACCCTCAAGCGTGAGCATAACATCAGGAGGAGTCATAAAATCCCACACATGTCGTCCATAGCGGCAACCTTTTTGCCTTTCTCCTCCCATGGAACTGCCACGAAGGACATAATGACATGCGACTCATA